ATATTTTTTTTTTTATAAAAGGTATTTAAATTTTCAACTACTTTTTTTTATTAATTTTAGATTTTTAAGAAAAAAAATTAGCAAGCACCCGTGTAATACACGGGCGTTGTACTAGTTCCATTAAATATTGAGGAAATTGATGCAATACTTTTATACTTAAATTATATAACACTTTTGCACTCCTTATAATATGTTTTTTAAAATTACCTAAACAAGTTAAAAGATTTTCAAATATACCTAATAATCTGAATAACCATTATTAAATTTTTTAAATGTGATTGAGATATTTAAGTGAATTAAATATACACTTACATAAAAAAATAGCAACCAAAAAGTGCAAGTTTATTCTCCCAAAAAAGCCCCACCGCCCCACTTCTCTCTCACTTTGCAAACCGTTCAAGTTTTTTTGCCCAATTCAACTGTCAATGGCGAAAACTAAATTCACTCGTCCTCATTGGAAAAATTCGACAGACGGTCGTCCTCATCGGGATTGAGAATTTTGCGACGGTTATATAGGTGATGGAAGTTGACGGACTGCGGCGGTTCATGGCGGAGGTGCAGGGGAAGAGAACTCGACGACGGAGGGCGTCATAAGCGGGCTCAAGCACGCACACTTGTTTCATAGGCGGGGGATGAATCTGGAGGTGTTATTCAAGTACTTGTTCGGGGATGTTAATCTACCGCTGGATTCAAAAATTGGATTAATTATTCATTAATATTGTTATCGAGAGCACCATTTTTCAGTTTTGCTTTGCCTTCTTCTGCTTGTAGTGTAATTGTGACATTCTGACGGGGATTGAATCTCGAGTGTATATCTTAGGCATATTTTAGGTATATGTGGGTTATGAAATTGTTTTGAGAAACAGTTGAAACTCATGTGTATATTTAAAGTATATTTTATGTATATGTGTGTCCCGATCTGTCGTTGGCTTAAATTACGAGTATATTTATGTATATTTTATGTACATGTGTGTTTGTACAACATTGGTATATATTGTATATACCCGCAACATGTAAATTTTCATATCTGATGGTAATATAAAATTCATGTATATAATTTTCATACCCCAAAACATATATATTTTCATACCTGAAAATATACTGCATATACCTGCAATATATACCTGCAATATGTAGAAAATAGAACTATCTATCAACGAATCAAGCAAACGAAGTGTTCGACAATTACCCTCTAAGAAGTTTTTCGTCAAAACGGATTCAATCATGGCCAAAACAACACCAAGGTATTCATCAACAAAAAAATGAATACCAAAACAACACATGTGCATAAAATATACATAAAATATACATTCGAGATTCTCTTAATTCAAGCCAGCGACAGATCGGGACATACACATAAAATATACTTTAAATATATGCTCGAGTTTCATCGTTTCTCAAAATCGATTTCAGACCCACATATACCTAAAATATACCTAAGATATACACTCGAGATCACTTAGATGAGACGAGCAGGCAAGAAGATTTCCAACGGTTGAGCAGAGTCCAGTTTGTCATCTTTTCTTTCTTTTTCGTTGTATGTTTTATCTTTCTTTTAAAATATTGAATGGTCTATCTCGGAAAAACTCGTGTCCTGGAACATGGCCACCGTCGCACACGAAGTAGGCACGCCTATCTCGGCTGAGGGGTTGTAGCCGGAGTGTGTTTGCTCGCCTTGAATGGCCTGGTGCTCTTGGTACTCGCCGGAACTTGGTGCATCTCGAGTGCCCTCTAATCTCCTCACCTGAAATCGGGGTTTCTGGTGCTCTCCTCGTCGGCGCGCACGACCTTCTCGTGGTCGGAAAACTGGTGGCTCTCCTTCTTGCCGAGAAAGATGACAGTATTTTGGGATCTCTCTGAGAAATTCTTATTTTTATTTTTTACGTAACAGATCATCTGCAAAATTTTGGGGTCAACGTTATTTTTATGGTAACTAAATTAAGCAAATCTCTAATTAATTTGGTAGTTTTAGGTACATATGAAATTAAAGTTGTAGCAGCCGTAAAAACACAAATAAGTCTAAATCCTGTAGGAGGTGTAAAAATTTCCCTTAAATATTTGTTATTGCACTTTCTTTTGCTCATCCCAATTATATGGGCTTCATTATCCTTGATTTATTTTGTCATGTCAAAGATATAATGTCCGTTAAGTAACTTAGTAATCGAAAATTTAATTAATTAACCTCTTGTTCCAAAACTAGTACCACTCAATCATTATTATTATGTCAAAACTTAATCCACGTGTAGTGTTTAGCATAATATGCCTTGTGAGCTTGCTTATGTTGATGTCATCAACCTGGCGCACCAGTAAAAAATAACCGAATATAATCAACAACACACCATGTAAATAATATTATTTCTTAACTCATCGAGTTATTGACCTAGCGAAATAAATCTTACCCTTTGATGATTCAAATAAATAAATATTAACTACACGTGCACATTATTATCTGACAGCTTAAGAGTACGACCGATATCATGAGGTATAGTTTATTTACTGAGTCAGTATGAAATAAACTTCTCCTCTGGATCCCCTCAATATGCACAAAATAAACTAGTAGAATTCATTTGTTAAGAGCATCCACAATGCATTGAGTCTACTTTTGCCTATGTGGCATGTAAATAAACACAAGTCTTGAATGACATGGATAAAAATTTGTAAAATTAACAAAATTCACTCAAATGCAAAAAGACTATGTTTCTACTTGAGTCTAAATTAGACTTAAGGGTAGATCGGGTCTCTTTTATTTGCTGTCACATCAGCTGGACTCAGTCTACTTGCACTTCCGTTGAAAATATTTTTTTTGGATTTGGTCTATTTCTTAGGTGGCATATAAATTTTTTTTGATTGAACCCAAAGCATTCAAATTACACTATAACTACCAATAGGTTCGCTCATTATTATCTCAATTATGAACCTTACTTATATTGCACAAAAAACCGATAATAAAATATTCATTGCGGCATCACCACACTATATTATCTTCAATATTCAAATACTTTCAACTAATTTTGATTCTCATTCAAACATTGAAATTTGGTTTAAACTAAAATGAAGCTTTTAGTATACTAACCAACAGTTGGATCTCCAGCGGTCAAAAAAATCCAACGGCCCAGATACGCGGGTCGCCAATGACTACTATCGGGTCCGTGCAAGACAAAGAAATAAAAAAAAAAAATTTAAAAAAAGTGGGCCATCTCCTGGACTCGTCCTGACCCAGCCCGACGAGTTAAAAGATTATAAATACGTGGCTTAGATCCGGTCCAGTCAAACTGTTGAATCGGTTCTGGGCCCATTGACTACATGCAGTTCAGGGTCGAGCCAGTCCGTGACCATGTCTACACACATCCAACATAGTGCATGTGCGCACAGTGAATTACTAGATAAATAATGGAAAAAAGTGTTGAATATAATATGGATTAGTTTAGGCAAGTTAAATATGAGTAAGCTTTGTCGCCCTTGTGGTCCTACCCGGCTCGATTCCGGATTAGTCGATTCTCCTGTGGATCCGGAAACTGGAAGGTCCCTGTACCAAAAAAAATATGAGTAAGCAAAATTGCATGGTTCATGTGAGTTTGGCAGTAATATAATCAATTTAATCATAATTTTGTCCGATGCTGTGGAGTCACACTCAATATAATTTTATTATAAATATAATATGGATTAATTTAGGCAAGTAAAATATGAGTTTGAAAGTAAATATAATCATAATAATTTTGTCCTGTGGTGGTGTCATACTCAATCCTCTCTATATATAATTCTCGAATGCGCTGAACCTACGTGGCTGCTTTTGGTGCTTTGAAATTCTATTTGGCGAAAAATCATGTTTCGTAATTAGGTTTGAATAAATAATATTGATATATTAATAATTAATAATCTAGGTCCGGGTATTCCATAAATATTATTTCGCTAACTTAGGTATTTTAATATCACTTTTACTAATATAACCCTTTAATTTTTTATAATTTTACATAGTGAGGCACTAAGTGAATAATATATCCCTGAATTTTGATTTGTTTCCTTCAATAAGCTATTAAATTATAAATGTATTTTAAAAGTTGATAACTTTTGTATTTCTTATCGGTCTTACATATATAATATATCAAATTAATCATCTTTTGATGATCTTCGATTTGACATCCATATTGTATATATGAAATAAATAAATTATATTTATCTTTATAATAATAAAAAATAATAATATTTATTAAAATTCATTAGAAAAATAAAATTATTTCTCAATTGATATATTTATATGTAATGTAGTTATATATTGTAAGTTAAAAAAATTAGTATAATATAACACAAATAAGTTGCACAAATAAAAAGTGTCATAATAAATATGTAATAATATATATATTCTTGTAAAAGGTATTTAAATTTTCAAACTACCTTTTCTCATTAATTTTAGATTTTAAGAAAAAAATTAGCAAGCACCCGTGTAATACACGGGTGTTGTACTAGTATAATTGTATTACTAAATATGACAATTGTTAACAATTTAATTCTTTTTTTTGTTCCTTTTTTTCTAACAATCCTTCCAAACAATAAAGTAATCATGTGAACTTATAGACTAATAAAAATATAACTCCGTGCGATTGAGAACAAAAAAAAAAAAAGGACAGAGTAAGAGAAATATATATAACTCCGTAACAGTGTTCGTTGATTCTCGGCCGTTGGATAACTTCCAATACTTAATCCTCTTAGCTGCAGTTGACGCCTGCATTATTATTATCAACCTCGTTACAGAACTATCTCGTCGAGATTTGTAACCGTTTGATCAACTATCCCCGAAAGTTATATGATGATCTAACGATTACAAATCCCGACAGAATGGTTAGCAATGGGACTATAGAATTTTCCTTTATTTAATCACAATAATCACTAATTAATTAACTAATTAACTAACAGTATTAATACCTCTTTATTCCAGTTAGTTCTGTAAACAATGCAGAATAAAAACTTGGTAAAAAAAATTCCCTGCAAAAATTTGGTAAAAAAAATAAAAACTGTCCAGCTATATATATAATTAAATTGATTGCTCATTAATTAGCCAAAATTACATTTTTAGTCCTGTTAGTTTAACGCCATAACATTTTTAGTCCAAAAAATTCAACTTTTTGCTTTTTGATCCTGTTATTTTGGCATTCTAAGGACTGAAATTGCAACATAATTTAAACTTACACGACTTAATTAGCAATTTAATTAAGTCATAATTAAAAAAATTTGTTGCAATTTCAGTCTTCAAATGACTGAAATTAACAAAAGGTTATGATGTTAGGACAAAAAACGTCATTGAATCAAAGCAACCAGATTGCAATTTTGTCCATTAATTAAAAGCACTTACTTTGACTCCCATTTGAAGTTGGTAACCAAATATAAGACCCACTGGAACACCAAATATATAATAGCACCCAATATTCACAAAGGCAATCAAACCTTGCCATCCAGCCCCAATAGCCACACCTGAACTTGCAACATTTTTGCATCAATATATATATACTATTTAATTTTACGTTAAATATGGTAAATTTTTTTTATTTAATTTTACGTTAAATATGGTAAATTATTTATAAAAAAAAAAGACTGCGAATTATACCCGATAGGCCTGGCTGAATGCTGTTGACGACGATGCAGAATGCAAGCAACGGCGTGAGCTCATACACGACTTGTTTGACCTCACCGCTGTTGCTGAACAGAGACGGATATTGGGCTCTGAATATGAGGAGAATAGTTGAAATAAAGAGACCGACCAAGAAAGAGTATATGACCATCACCACTATCGAAAATCTTGCGGTTCTTGGACGAGAAGCTCCGAGTTCATTCGACACTCTCACACTGCATGCACATTGTATTGATTTTGTTACATTATTAATTACTTGTAATCAATGTGTAAGAAGATCAGAAGAACCTTATAGCTGCGTTGAATCCGAATGATATTGTTGTCGTCCATCCCAATATGTTTGCGCTGCGAATATAAAAAGTAGTTGATAAAACCGAGTTTTAGATGCCAATTAGCCACATATATACACCGTCTCAATATTTCTTGAACTGAAAAATCAGTTCTTAATTGTTCAGATGTATTTTTCGTGCAATTCAATCAACCGATTACCATATTGATAAAGCGGCGACGGCAACTTCTGCATCCTTCAAATATCCAGCAAAGAGGATCAACGCCATGAAGTACCATATCTCCAAGCTGTCATCGCCATAATTACATCAACAACACTTTCCACAAGATGAAAAGCAGAATTTACTTAACAAAATTTTCAGATCGACGACACACAAATCCATATGTAAACAAGTTTAAAAAATCTCACCACGTCATTATGGCTGACTCAATCGACAGCCTCACAAATCCCCATATATTGCTAAACGCGTGAAAGGTAAACCCGGGCCATGCCCTCCCACACGCCCCGCTCACCACATACCACAGTTGTCCAATCACAATAAACCACCAAGAAATATCGAGCACAGCAGCCCCAGCAGCCATCCCCCACCCGAGCCTCAGCATCAGCAGCCAGCTCAGCACCATGTGCAACAGCAGGGCCACGGCCGAGATCCAGGCCATGGCCATGATCTTACTCTGCGCCTGCAGAACTTGGCTGTCGGGAAGTTGACGACGTACGCAAAAAGCTGTGGGATCATCCACAGAGCGAACTTCCCCGCGACTCGGGATATGGCCTCTGTCTGCCCGATAAGCAATAAAAATGGGGACGCGAAAATGTAGAGGAAGGTGAGAAGGAAAGCAGTGACGAGAAGGATGATCCACAAACGCTGTAAGTAGACACCGAGCATTTCCAGCTGCCCGGCGCCATATGCTTGCCCGCACAGGGTTTCAACAGCGCTTCCCATCCCCAACTGTTCAAATTTTTATTTATATATATATATATATAGACAATTGAAGCGCACCATAAAAGAATGAGGCTTAGTGCGTCATAGTAAAATTTCATCTCAATATCAGTGGATATCAATTGGTGATGAGAGGACTAACTCACTAGGTTCATTTAACAAAAGTGATACTCCAACAATTTATTTTTTTCTTTTTTTTCGGGAGGAAAATAGGATGTACGACTTACCAGCACACCTAACGATAGACCAGCGATGACGGAGTTCTCGATAGAGAAGGCGGCCAGGTCGAGCGTGCTGACGTGGCCAGCCAACGTCTGGGTGAAGGCGCCGAGCATGTACTGGGTAAGGGAGGTGAAAATGGCGGGGCCCGCCAAGTACCATAGCTTACCCGACTCCGCCTTGAACATGATCATGAAACTGGTCAAGTTCTTGATGGGGCCAATGTCGTCGTCGTCGGCCACGAAGGACGATAAACAGCAAGGGTTCGACAATCTCTGTAAAGAGTCGCTTCGCACAGAGTCGTCATTTTCGTGCCCGGCCGCCTGTGTAAGCAGTGGCTGCTTTGAATTGTGATCCTCCATGTGTAATGGCACAAGACTACGTGAAAAAAAATAAAAAAAAAATGGAGAACTTAATTAGCACTAATTTTAGAGTGAAGATCTTAGCTTAATTGGATAGTGGTATTTTAGCTAGTACGATGAAAGGGGTATTTATGCAGGTAGTGTGATGAATGATTGCAGATCAATTATTATTTAATTGCAGGATTAGTCCAAAACTCGTAAATTATTAATTAAAGAGAGCTGTAAAATGATTTAGAATTAAAAGCTATTATTGTCTACCAACAAGAGGGTTGGATCAAGTGGTAAACAGTTTGATGTCGCTTAAACAAGGTCTCGGGTTCGAGTCGTGGATGCAGAAAACTCTTGTTGGGAGACTCACCCACCACTCTGTCAAGTGTGGGTCGACCAACGGATTAGTCAATGCATAGCTCTGAATACCGTGACTGGCTACTAAAAAACTATTTTTGTCTTGGCACTAAGTGAGTACAGTAAAGTAACAACGTGGATTTTAAATAGATTTCAATAGGCATCAACAGGATATGCGCGATCTTTATTGACCAATAAATGTTGAAGCCAAAATGTGCTCGGGAGTAAAGGACAATCACTATTCGACGAGCATGAATAGAATAATTAATTAATGTTAATATATGATTTCAATAAGCTGCTTACGCACATGGACCATATGTAGGATGACGTAGTGGCCTTTGGCAGTGGTCCTAATTAATATGCTAACTTAAAAACATCATACTTTCGTTCTTACATTTCTACACTTCTCAGGTCAATAATACTTGGTGATGGGGCTACCTGGTGATGGGGCTATCATTTGAATCGTCGTGGTTCGGTCTTAACACAATGCCTCGTCCTCTCACGCCGAACTTCTATCAGCAGTAGTAGTAGTGTCAACATGTCGATATGAAGATCTTAGCCAAATTACTGTTTCGGGCCACGTTTATGGGGGCCCTGAACCAGTTTGGACCTTCCTTTTAAAAAAAAATAAAAATGAGGGGGTGTTTAAAAATATTGATCTTGAGGGAATGCAGCAGTGTTAAAACTCTTGAGGGAGAGCTTTGCCGCTCTTGTGGTCCTACCCGGCTTGATTTCTGATTAGTCGGTTCCCATGTGGATCTGAAAACCGGAAGGTCCCTGTACCTAAAAAAAAAAATTGATCTTGAGCTTAGTTGATATATTATAAGTTAAGGGATTGGAGCATTAAGATCTGAGACGACACGTGCATAGAGAGGCGAATTTTGCGACCGATCAATTGGCGAGCTTGGCGACCTCTTATTCGATTGGTCTTCATAATTGGTGTCTGCTCCTCCCCCTAGTTTGGGAGACTGGAT